GGCTGGCGCCTTAGCCACTTGAGCCACAGGCACTGAGCCAATTCTCAACTTCTTAATGCCACGGTCCTTTAATACAGTTCCTGTGGGTCACGACCTACAGATTGAGAATCGCTGCTCTAAATATTTTATCCACTTGAATGGCTAAAAATCCCCATCTTCTTCAGTCTGTGTCCATCCTGTTGATTTTCTTTTTCTTTATTCTTTTTATTTTTTTGAGACAGTCTCATTTTGTCACCCTTGGTAGAGTTCCCTGGCATCATAGCTCACAGCAACCTCAAACTTTTGGGCTCAAGCAATTCTTTTGACTCAGCTTCCCAAGTAGCTGGGACTACAGGCACCCACCACAACACCCGGCTATTTTTAGAGGTGGGGGTCTCACTCTGGCTGAGGCTGGTCTCAAACCTGTGAGCTCCGGCAATCCACCTGCCTTAGCCTCCCAGGCATGAGTCACTATGCCCAGCCTATTCTTTTTATCTTAACTACAAACATACAAGATCTTTGTAAAATTTCCCCTTCTTGATTTTGGCCCATCATGTAACCTGGTTAGATAATTCAGAATCTCACTCTGACATCCCACAGTTTGGCCCTGCCTTCCTGCTTTAAGACTCCATTAACAGTGATGGACGTATCTTCTGGTTATTCATCTGTATCACTGACAGACAGTAGACAAGGTAAAGGACACTGTCCCCTGGGTATCCCTTCTACTGGAGCATTTACTAATTATTCAACAAGCTGCAAGATAACCTCACTATACAAGTATCTGGCCTATTTCTAATTCTCATTTAAAAGAGTCTAGATCCATCAATTTAGGTAATCCTAGTTTAAAAAACAAGGAACCTACAAAGAGTTATGGAAGTTTACATTGACATTGATGTCTCAATTTTTAAAAAATTTATTGTCTATCTCAAGTATAAAAGAATAGGTTCCAAAGTGTCAATTCCAGACAAGTAGTGTGGCTATCTAGGGTGTCATGTTGAATAGGATCTTAAGACCTAACGTTTCAGAAAAAGTTCTATGATTGATTAATGGCGTCTGCCAGAAAATAAAAGTGGTTGCACAAGTGCCACATTTTTGTCATTGTCTGTCTGTATAGTTAGGTCACAAATGCTTTACCCTAGATTGCTACACGTGGTGGTCACATTCCAATCTATTAATGATCAGAAGAATGTTGAGTATTTAAGAGCCCAGGGTATTTAAGTCAAAAGAAGGCTGTTTAGGTCAAAAGCAGGTTTTAATTCCTGAAAACTCCTTATCACCTGGCTCCAATTCTTCATTGGCTTTATACTGTACCCACACCCTCATCTTCCTAGAAGTTAAAGGTTTAAAGGAATCTTGAATATATTGTCTAAATTTCAGCCAGGGGCATAGTCTCTTTAAAAAAAATTTCAGCCAGGCAAGGGTTTCTGGAAACCTCAGTTGGAGTTCCTGTGAGTCCTGTGTACACGTGTTGAGTGAATAATAAATAAATAGGAACATTGTTAACCATGCTAAAAAAATAAGTTTCCTAACACAGAGTTAATTCTCACTCATATTAACCAGTCGAAGATCAGCAAAGGCATGCTGATGGCTGGTAACACAGTTACAAGAAAATGCCGCTGGAAATTCTATTTAACATACAGTTTGGGAACACACTGGACAACGAGTTGAACCTTTGTTTCAACGTTAAGTACATGCACCATCGACTTGCACAATTTGTTCACATTTTCAAGAGTATAAATCTTATCTTTCCATATTAAATTATTCACGCCTTTCTTACTACTGCGTAGGAAACATAGCAACTTTGATTAAGTATTTCGTAGAATGACCCCTAGCAGCACAGACCACCCCTTCAGTTCAGACCATGTCAACTCCAAATCCCAATCTCCAACTCTTTCCCCTTTTCCACTAATTCTCTAAGTGCTTAGCACTAGGGATAAAATAGAAAGCTACGCCGGTCCTCTCGGCTTGCAGTGTACAGGTTAAGTGTAAATCATCCAACACACACATCCAACCTGCCCTGCCTACACCACACCTGGCTCCGCCTCCTCCGCTAGTAGCCACGCCCCTTATCCGCAGGTCCCACCTGTTTGCCGATCAGACTCCTCCCCTTCCTCCAGCGTCCCACTACTTCCTCATCCTGCCCCTCTCCTTCCTCAGCAGCCCCTACCATGCCACAAAGCCCTTCTCCCAATAGCTATCCCATTCAGGAAAACGTCCCCTCTTGTCCCACCACGCTCGCCTTCCTCCATTGACCCCGCCCCCACGCCCTCCGAGCCCCCCCCCAACGGCTCCTCCCGCCTCCCCGCCCACCTTGGTGCAGCCTCAGGTCCTCACTACGACGTCCCTTCTGCTTCCCCACGACAGAGGGTCGCCTCCTTCCAGACGGGATAGGCCCCTCTGTCGCCCGTGCAGTGGCTGAGGACTTTGCCCTAGGAGTGGGGAAGCGGCCGCTCACACCCGCATGCGGGGCTGGGCTCGGTGGAAGGCCCCGGGGCGACTAGTCCCGGCCGCAGGACTAGGGCTTCTAGCCGACGTCTGTCGGCCCGGCCGTTGCCTAGGTTACGGCAGCGTTGGGGGCGGGCCCGCTGAACTCGTAGCGGAAATGACGCCACGCTCCGCGCCACAAAGCGGTGCGCGGGAGGCGGGACCAACTAGTGGTGGACTTTGGCCGCTCGCCCCCCGGCGGCTGGTGGAAACAGTGGGCTCCCTGGAGTGGTACGCTTGGCGGTGGCTGCAGGCCAGGGAAGGGACAGTGGGGAAGGAGGCCCACCGGGTCCCTGGGAGCGGCTTCCGCTCAAACACCCGCGAACTGCAGCTGCTAAGGCGGGGCGTCCGAACCTCGTACCGCAGGCACACTAGATAGGGGGCGAGGGGGACGCTCCTGTGCCTGCTAGGATGCTCAGCAGGTGATACACGGCCAAAATGCCACCAGACTTCACCAGCTGACCCTAGGGGCAGAGTCGCCCCCACTCCTCTTGAGAACCACAAACTTCAAATGACCAAAACTTCATGGCAATACCCCTCACTTGACTGGGACAGGACTAGGTTGAATGTAATGTCTTTATCAGTTCATAATTTGGTTTGGTGCTACTTTAATTCTGTTGAAAACAGAATTTGAAACTACCTAACAGAAGGATTTGGATTTGTTTCCCAAGTCATAAAGCTGCTTTTTCATTTTGGGGGGAGTATACCAGTCAACTAAGATTATCAAATAACTCGACTGAAAGCACGTTCTCATAAGTACATGTATAAGTTGGAAGATCTGGAAACCAGTTTTCTTCATGCTGATTGTGTCTGCATACTCCAGTTTGAAATCTGCTGGTAATCACTGTAGATATTTAGCAGGTAAATGCCTGATAGGATGGTTGAGTAGAGACGTTAAGGGACAAGCGTGTTTGGCTAGTTATGCTTATAAAAAGCCAACAGAGCGGTGCCTGTGGCTCAGTGAGTAGGGCGCCGGCCCCATATACTGAGGGCGGGGGCTTCAAATCGGGCCCTGGCCAAACTGCAACAAAAAATATACGGGCGTTGTGGCGGGCGCCGGGAGTCCCAGCTACTCAGGAGGCTGAGGCAAGAGAATGGCCTAAGCCCAGGAGTTGGAGGTTGCTGTGAGCTCTCATGCTACAGCACTCTACCCACGTCGATAAAGTGAAACTCTGTCTCAAAAAAGAAAAAAAAAAAAAAAGCCAACACAGAGACTAGTACCAGAAACTAATGGAATAAGATCCCAATTAGCAAAAGGGATGTCTCAAAAACAGAGAAAGAGTATATGGAACAGTACTTTCTGCTCAATTTTGTTGTGACCCTAAAGCTGCTCTAAAAAAAAAGAAAAAAGGACGGACAGAGGTAGGGGGTCAGTAGTAAAGACCTGTTGCAGAGAGGAGGAATTTAATCAGTGTAAAGAAAGGGCCCTGAGGATGAAAAGGGGGTGTGGGATTAGGACTGAAAGAATACACTAAAAAAGGGGATACTTATATAATAGCATAATCTTCAAAACTTAAAGTGGGCTGTACTCTTTTTGGTAGCCTCAGAAAAACAGAAATGCGGGAAAATTCCTAAATTACGATTTGCGGGGCATTTATGGGAACACTAGCCTTCTTTTCACACCAGCATGCCGGTGCAGAGCGCCCTCTAGTGGCTTCTTTAGTCAGAGCCTACAGTTAACAAACTGCCTGGGAGGTGACCTAAGAAAAAAAGGGTAACCTATTCCATTTCTGAAGTTTTAGTTATTAGCATCCTTAAAAACCTTTAGTAAGCTACTCTCTGAAAACCAAAATCGTTCAAAAGGAATATGAGGTCGGAGAAATCACATTCTATTGATTTAGTCAATTTGGAGGGCTAGTCAAGGCCTGTCTTTTTGGCAGCATTATGACAGAAATGACAGTGGACTTAGCTTTATTATTATTATTTTTAGTGAGACTCTGTCTCACTTTATCGCCCTCGGTAGAGTCTGGGCTTAGGCGATTCTCTTGCCTCAGTCTCCAGAGTAGCTGGGACTACAGGAGCCCGCCACAAGGCCCGGCTATTTTTTGTTGCAGTTTGGCCGCGGCCGGGTTTGAACCCGCCAGCCTCGGTATGTGGGGCTGGCGCCCTACCCACTGAGCTATAGGCGCCACCTGGATTTAGCTTTATTGAAAGAGCAAGTTGCTATACATTCTGCTTAGAATGGTTGTTACAGAGACAAGCGTGTCTCTCTTTGGGACGGGAAAATAAACTGCCCACTTTTTTC